TCAAATAAATAAATAAATCCTCGCGAAGGCTAACCCATAGCCACAGGTACTGCCCCGCCTTCTTTCCTGCAATATTTAACAGTAAAAAGACAAACGGGGCGGGCAGGGACAGAGTGAGGCAGATGTGCTGCTCGTTCACTCTTACCCTGAGGATGGAGCCTTCAGAGCCCCCTTTCACACGGGGAGAGTCTCCCTTGGCCTCTGCACCTTCAGAGGACTGTGGAATTAACTACCATTCTTCTGACCCTACAAGACCTCTAAAATCAAAGTCCCACTTTGTCCCCATCAGCAAATGCCCTCAGGGCAAAGGCAGATTCTGTGGCGCTTACTCACCTGAGCTCTTACTTCCTGGTTTCAGTCTACAACTTCCTTGTTATATTGTCAGTTTTGTTTTTTTTGTTTTTGAATCTAACACTTTTAGTTGTTTTCCAGAAGGTAGGGGGTGGGAGGTTAGAAGACAGTCCAAATAACCTAGTTCAACGTTTATCAAAAACATTTACCGGGGCGCCTGGGAGGCTCAGTTGTTAAGCATCTGCCTTCCGCTCAGGTCATGATCCCAGGGTCCTGAGATCGAGCCCCGCATCAGGCTCCCTGCTCCGCGGGAGGCCTGCTTCTCCCGCTCCCACTCCCCCTGCTTGTGTTCCCTCTCTCGCTGTGTCTCTCTCTGTCAAATAAATAAATAAAATCTTAAAAAAAAAAAAGAAGAAAACATTTACCAATAACATTGCTAGGGTTTTTTGCCAAATAAACCTGATACACAATTCTGTACTGAAATTTATATTTTCTTATCACTTTGAGGAATGATTCCACTCTCTCTATTGGCTTCTATTCATGCTAATGTGCCATCTGTTGTAGGTAATCTATCTTTTACCTGTAGCTTAAGAGTTCTTGTCTCTGTTGCTACACAATTTCAATGTATGGATGCGGGTTTTTTTTTTATTTGTACCACTTGGGACATAGTGTGTGCTTCCTAAATCTGTGGATTTATATCTCTTACTAGTTTCCGAGAAGCCAAAGCTATTAATACTTTGAATAATGCCTCTCCTCCATTTTCCCTATTTTTCCATTCTGGGATTCCAACTACACATTTACGACACAATTTTATTCTATTCTCCACTTTTCTTAACCTCGTTTTCCATCCCCCATCTCTCAGTGCTGCACGCTGGTAATTTCTTCAGACACATACTTCAGTTCACAAATTCGGTCTTCAGCCATATTTTAATCTGTTTTATCTACATATACTGAGTTTTTAATTTCAACATCGTTTCCATTTCTGAAAGTTCTATTTGGGTCATTTTGCTACTTTGGCTTTTCATTACTAATCTGTATTCTGTTTTGTATTACTTTAAACACTTCATACATTCGTATATACACTGCATCCAATTATTCAGTATCTGCAGGCCTTGGGGCATCTAATCATGCTAACTCTTCCTCCCAGGGGTGTGTATGTTCTGACGATAAGTTCAAGTTTGCTTAAATTTACTCTACAGAAATCCCAAGGGCCAAGGCTCAGTATGCTTTCCTCTGAAGATGATTTGTTTTCTTTAAAGAACAAAGGAGTGCTATCACAATTCCTCACTGTTCCTTTTTTAAAAATTTTTTCTTTTTTAGCCTTTGGAGTTATCTTAGTTGGTTTTTTGGGGGGTGGTGGTGTTTTATTTATTAAAGATTTATCTATTTATTTGAGAGAGAGTGTGCGCGCACGTGCACACTGGTGGTGGGGGGGAGGGGGGCAGGCAGAGAGAGAGAATCCCGAAGCAGACTCCCTGCTGAGCACAGACCCTGACTCAGGGCTCAATCCCAGGTCCCTGAGATCATGACCTAAGCTGAAATCAAGAGTTGACCGGCTTAACCAACTGAGTCACCCAAGTGCCCCAGGTTTTTATTTTTGTTTTTTTAAGTAGGCTCCATGCCCAGCGTGGAGCCCAACATGAGGTTCAAACCTACAACTGTGCGATCGAGACCTGAGCTGAGATCAAGAGTCCGACTAAAGGGCGCCTGGGTGGCTCAGTCAGTTGAGAGTCTGCCTTCGGCTCAGGTCATGATCCCAGGGTCCT